TGGCCCTCACTTCGCTCTAGCCACGGGAAGATGAAGGCTGGAGCTGCTGAGGCTGAATACAACAGGGGTGGCACTGGATGGGCTGGGAGGTCCCTTCCCACCCCAACCAGGCTGGGATTCTGTTTGTTGTCCCTTCTGGGTGTCCTCGGGTGTGTGTGGAGCAACTGGGGAATGAGGGGAGCCTCTTGGGTTTTCAGCTTTAAATATTCTTTGAGGAAGGGAAGAAGAAAAGATCCTAATGGGGGGCTAAAAACAGCCAACCAAACCAAAACCCCTTGGAGCTTTGTCCCTTCTCCCCAGCTCGCCTGAGGTGCAGCGGTGTACAGGGGAGCAGGGCCCCCTCCCGTTGGGAACCCGTGGGTGCTCTGGCTGCAAGGTGCCTGCAGCCCCGGTGCTGGTCCCAAAGGCAGCGGGAGGGCTTGAGCCCTGGTGCCCCCCCTTGCCCCTGCCCCACCAGGCTGAGAAATAAAACTGAACCCACCGCTGCCCCTCCAGCTGCTCGGAGCAGTGCCTGGCTCCAGGCTGGTTTTAGGGGAATGAAAGAAATACAGTTCCCCATTTATTTTGTTTCTGCAATTTTTCACCGCAGCAGTGACAGTCGCTACCACCCTGCTGCAAGGGGATGGGGCGTTCGCATCCTCCGAAGGGGAAATACTCTACCGGCTGTTTTGCTCAAAAAACTCAGGAATTTTTTGTGCAGACGGTATGTTTAAAAAAATAGTTTAATAAGCTTTTTAAGAATTGCAGACAGGGAGAAGGGAATTACTAACAGTGCAAAATTACTATGTGTGGAAAAATGTATAAAACTAATTTGTAAGTGTGTGTGTGTGTAGTAGTTTTAACATCACATTTAATCCTTTCAAAAGCCCAGCAAGAATTTATGCCGTTACACTGGGTTCTCCCTTGAGGCTGCGGTATTAAAGCACTTCACAAATCCAGGACCCCCCTGCTCCAGCTGACCTCATCACCACAGCGCTTGAAAAACATCCCCGAGCGTCTTGTGAGCTTTTCAAGGCAGTTTGGAAACACGTCCAAACCCTTCTGGGCTCCAAACTGTACTGAAGGCTTTTTACATGAAATCAAAGTTACTGTATTTCTAGAATTTTAAATAGCTTTAGTAGTAGTGCAATGACTTATCAAGTTATAGTGGCTGCATTTTGAAGAACATGAACAAAGTATTGTATAAAACACCAGCATAAACAAAATGTAAATTATAATTAAATATTCTTAAAAGTCTAGCTGAGCATTACAGATTTCTTGATTATGGAATGTCAGGTCTCTTCTACGTATCACCAAAAAAAGGTAAGATTAAAAAAAAACAAAGCATCATTCCTGAAAATATACACAGTGCTGTATTTCACACACAAGCCTGAGACAATTTATTTATAAACTTTCCTATAAATTGTTGGAGCTATTTCCAACTTGCAAACAAAACCGCATAAAAATAAAATTGAGACTAGGACTCTAGCTGCAAAGACTCGTAGAAGCACTGCACTACCCTCAGGCTGAAACCGTCTTGAGCCCATCTTTGATATAAGGCTGTGATACTTTGGGTTTCCCTTAATAAACCAGATGATTGTAAAGTTAACAGCAACCTCTTACTAAAGCAATCACTTAATCGATTAGCAAAACCTTACTGATGTGCCTCTCCGTGTAAACTGCTACTTCTAGGCAGGTGTCAACTGCTGCACGTCGGCCGAACCAGTTAGAACGGATCGTTCACAAGGTTTCTGGGGACAGCAGCGTAATACACGCCAGTAACTCATCCTGGCGCTGGAGCCAGGCCCGATCCAGAGGACTTGGCTCATTAATGACCATAAAGTCCAAGTATACGCAGTTGAAGAAGAAAACAAAATGAACAAAACCCTTAGCAGTTGGGTTTTTTTTTTTTATGGTTGATGCATTTGTTTCAAACCATAGGACCGTGCATTTAAAACTGGATTCGTCAAGACTCATAAAGTAAAAATAACCAATTAAAAATTAACAGCGCAACTGTAAGCCACAGGAAGAGGAGGGCACAAGATTATAAATTATACAAATGAACAATTTTTCCTATTTTTAAATACAGTAGAGGTGTAGCTGTGGCTTAAAGAAAATATTCAAAAAACCAAACACCAGTATTAAAACTCTATTTTATGGCTGTAAACCCTACTTCAACAACTTTCAAATGATGCTAGCCGGACAGTGAGCAATCACCCCCCTCCACACACATTTATAAAGAATTTTCGTTTCTCTCACTTTAATCTTAAAATAGGTACCCATACCTATTCTTACTTCTTGTACCCGTGAATCTCTACCTACTGAGGTACGTATGTGTGTATATGCTGTTCCGGGTCCGTGCATGTGATGTTTCTGCTCCAGCTGAAATACCCATCCATACGGTCCACTAGTTTTCAGCAATTCAAGCCCAGGCACCGGGTTACCAGCTGCACATCCCATGCTGCCAGAGTCACTCGACCCATTTCCAACCCTTCCTGTGCTCAGTGAAATGGAGAAGATGACAGACAGACTGAAAAATCAATGGATCATCTAACACCTCGTCTTGGTGAACAAGGTTTAGTAAACTCAAGCATTTGGCTGAAGTGAAATTTATCTGAGCTCAAAATAAAACGAGAAAATGTATAATGAAAGCAAGAAACTTTGTGCAATGCAAGCATCATGCTTAACAATTTTTTAGCATCACTATTTGCCATAAAAGAGAAATAAGAAAAAACATATTTTCAAAATCAAATAACTTCTAACCATTCTTGATGTTAATCGTTTACTGTTTTCTGAGAAGAAAATAACATGTTGGTGACTAATCAGCATTTTTTAAGTCAATTGGTTTGGTTTGGGGGTTTTTTGTTGGTTTTTTTTTTTTTAGAAAAGACTTCAGCAAAATAAAATGAAGCTGACATTAGACTCAGGATATCAATTATCTCATAAAAGTTTACCAACTGTACAAGTTAAGAAAATTATACAAGCTTTTGTTTTAAGAAAGGACAGTTCAATCAAGACATAAGTACTGTAAAAATCTTTCAAAGGCTACAAAGAAATCTGGAAAAATACAGAATGTATTTCTTTAGCCCAGATAAAGAATATGGAAAGACATCATTGATGTCAACAATTTTACATATACAAACCTGACCTGGTTTATTTATTTACCTTTTAAAACTTCTATATATAAAAATAGTTGTGCTCATAACTTTCAGGATTCATAAGGGTTCCTTAACAATGGGATGACACTTTTCTCTCGCTAGCATGAGTGGAGGTCTCTGTGCCTACTCTGAT